TCCGCGTGGCTGAAATGTTGTGATCAACGCACGCCCCTCTTTGGGAGTCGACATAAGAAGGCTTCCAGTGTACTTGAAGATTCATGGAGCATAGTAACTACGTAGAACTGGTGGGTTATAACCCAAGCTGTCATTAGAGCAACTCCCGTAAAGCCGATTCAAGCGACTATAAGTAAGGCTCTAATGCCAGCTAGAAGCAGTCAAATAATCCCATGAAACTCCGACCCTTAAAGCTAAACCCGTGACCCTATACCCCAAGCCCTCAACCTTGAATCCTTAAACCTAAAACCCTAGACCCCCAAACCCTCAACCCTAAACCTTGTACGTAAACCTCCCAGGCCAAGTGCTCCGTGATCACGACAGCATGGGTCAGGCCTGGCTTGCCTAAGGGCAAATTCCTAGGCTGCTTTCCAGGAACTTAAATCAAAGGGGTTAAGGTTTAGACACGCGCATCGCTCACAGACGGGCTAAGGTTTAGGGTTTAGGGTTTAGGGGGTTTTGCAGGAACTTCACTTAAACAAGTGGGATTATAGCGGGTATATAGGGGGAATGGAAAAGATAATGGAAACTACTTTGTATGGCTTAGGGTGTAGGGACTGTGTCTTCAATCATGGAAAGGTTATATGTGGATATATAGAGTTATATAAGATCCGAGGAGGGATCTATAGGGTTTGGGGTAAAGTTACCAATGCTGGAGAATCACATGGGAAAGAAAACGCAGATGCCATGGGAGCTGGGTTTACATGGTGGTTATATACGGAGTCAAGGAACTCAAACTAAGTTGCCGTATCTGGATATGCAATAAGTAACCTTAATATGCTTTACTCACTATGGTAATCTAAACCAAGGTCCTTAATTAAGTCCATGGAGAACCTCTACATAGCGCCAGCTTGCGTTTCATTTTCTATGCTCTTCCTCATTTGATTTTCCATTACGGTATCTAAAGCCCTCAGCCCTAAACCCTACATATAGTTTTTTCCATTTCATTTTCGATGTCCTTTTTCATTTGATTCTCCGCTTTTGAGGATTTAAGGTCCTTAGCAGCAACCCAGGTTCGGGCGCTCTAAGCCACGGCGGAGAAGCACGCACACGACCACGTCCCGGCCTACATCGTAGCCTTCGGTTCAGGGCCCATAATTTTCAGGGATTCTGGATCATGAAAGGCTATGTAGGGTTTAGGGCATGCTACCAATAATTATTGGAAAATGAAGAATGTTGGACCCTAAGCCCTAAAACCTGAGACAAAAACTCCTCTAAAACCTGAAGCCCTCAACCCCAAAACCTTAAAGCCCTGAGACCTCTAAATCCCCGACACCCTGAACCCTCAAATCTACCTAAAACCCTAAAACCTTAAACCCTCCTACCTATAAGCCCTAAAACCCTGAACCCTAAAACCTTACACCTACACCCTAAAACCCTAAACCAAATCCTAAACCCTACCCTACACCCTAAAACCTTAAAACCCTGAACCACCCACAACCTTAAAGCCCTTACCCTTAAAACCTCAAAGCCCTAAAACCTGAAATTCCCTGAAACCCTAAACCCTTAAAGGCCTGGACCCTAAAACCTTAAACCCTTCACCCTATTTCTGGCAGATCAAAGCGGGTTTGCTTCAGACTCAGTGTAGGCCCCAGCTCCAATATATGGGAGTTTCCTAGAATTAGGGGTCTTTGTTGGGGATCATACTGGTTATATAAGGGATAAGGATTACAGCATTTTGTGGTCTATATTGGGGTCCCACTTATTAAAACTACCATGTCTGAAATGTGCTGAAACCAAGTAGCAGAGACCACAAACAACTGCCGTCATGATTGCCATTGCGGCAAGGTCAGAAGACAGCACTTGCACCATAACGACCTCTATCAGATTGGGGAGGTTGCCGGTCAGCCGTGGCACCAGAAAGCAAATGATTGCAGATGTTATGCTGACCTGGGCCAGTGGCAGGAGTATGACGAACTTCAACCAGGGGTGACCAGCAGCTTGCGTGGGCAGTGGCTGTGCATGACTGGTGAGCAGCCACGTAAATGCGTCCGCAGCAGCACTCGTTACTCGCCTTGACCTGCAAACAATGCAGAGAAGTGCGCAAGCCAGGATCGACACCACCATGCTGACGGCAATCAGCATGGCCCATGCTGTGGCTTCCCTAGCCTGAAGACTTCTTAGTCCCTGAAAAAGACTCAGAACCCGAAATTCCCGGGCCACAACGACATGATCTTAATCCTGATATGAGCTAGAGAGAAAATTTCCTCGATAACTAACGGACATGGGTGCTTTATTGGGGACTATATTTGGGACCATATTAAACTAGAAGAGGGACCCGCGTGTCCACCTTCATTTAAGGGTCCCTCAAAGAGGCCTAGTATCAACAGCAGCTCATATCCACCCTAAACTCTAAACAATAAACTCTTGTTTTGCAACAGGCTTTCTGAGCTTGAAGCAACCCCAGAAGCTAGACCCCTACTTCACCAGAGACTATAGTCCCCCTTAAGTAGCTAAAACATGGGGTGTATTGGGATCTTATTGTAATATACTCAAAGCCACACTCTATCTACTTAAGGGAGACTATATCTGGTAAGAACCTGAACCCTGAACTCTGAGTCCCCCAAAGGCAGAAAGGGACGTGTTTGCGGTTTGAGGCGCATCTTCAGGTCTCAACTAGGGGCTTACCAACATCATTTCTAGGGTTTTGGTTTCAGGGTCTAAGGAACTCTACACCCCAAAGCCTCTTTTTTTGTCCCTATATTAAAGATGAATAGTACTTGGGGGTCTAAAGTGGGGCCCCTTTATTTATGGAAACTACCAACTCAAAAGCTGCTATGACTTGCCTCCTAGTTTAGGTTTTGTGGCTTTGGGCTCCGGTTGACGCGGTCTACATGGAGGCTCTAAGCCGTAATGGCCTCTGCAGAAGATACTTGGTAGGCACATCACGAAACACTAGCTTTCTCCATCATACTCCATGGCACTTCGCACCCGCACCAAAAGTTAACTTCTAGATACCTGTATAAGAATATAGGGGAACCCCGAAAAGTGAAGGGTCGAAGACCCTAGCTAAGTGCCAAGGCAAGTAATAACTGTAGGGGGTGTAGGTTATAACCGGATTATAGCCTTACCCTAAGGCTCCAATTATCCGAATATTGGGGTTCTAGGTGCCCTAAAGCCTTGTTATTTGGGTACTTGGACCCTTAGGGCTAGCGTGTTCCCCAAACCCTGAAAAGCCTCATCCCTAGGAAAGGCTTGAGCTTCGGAAGGAAGGTGACTGAAGCCTCGCACTTGGAAATCTCAAACCCGCTATGAAACCTGAGGTTTCCAAAAAAGCAGGGAATTTAGGATTTAGGGGTTCAGGGTCTAGGGTTTGGAGTTTAGGATTCCCGGTTTGGGGTTTGGGGATGTTACCAAAATTATAAAGAATCAAATGGAAAACCGAAAAGTAAACGAAATGGACAGTGAGCGTATACAAGGGTTATGTTATACAATGCCTATCTCACCCCAACCTTCCATTTCATTCACCATTGTTGAGATAGTCCCTAAATGAAGGAGAGTAGGACTCAGTAACAGGCTCTTCCTGACAGGAAGAGTTCAGTTCTGTACGGCTCCTGTTCTGTTGCGGTTAGGGTTAAGGGGAAATTTGTTTAAGGTTAACGCACCGGATCTAGCAACCAATGCGGACACAAGATTGCCTGCATGCACTTCACGCCAACCTCTCAAGCCATACGCCACCTGAAGCCAGGCTTTTCTCCAAGACTTGCCGATGCAAGAGATAAGACCACCCTCTTCAGCTTCGAGTTGCCAAGGTAGTTGCCTATGCCCTAAATCCTAAGCATAGACAAAGGGTCTGCTTACTGCTTTGGAAGCTAGCGAGTAATGGCCCGTCGGGCTGATGATCTGATTGAATCCTCCGGACTAAAGCATATGCCACATCCAAAACAAAACGCTGCATTCGGTGACAGCCAGATCAATCATAGGTAGCCACCCTATCGTCCCCCTTAAGTAGATAGAATATGGAGTGTATGGGGATCTTATTATACTATACCCAAAGACATATTCTATCTACTTAAGGGGGACTATGCACCCGAAACCCTAAATAGTAGTTTCCATTTTATTTTCCATTCTCCCTATATAACCCCAATATAATCCTAAAATTCTATCTGCTTAAGAATAACTATAGATCCTAAACCCTCTGCTTTGGAGTAAAGGGATCTCATCGGACTTCCATGTCATGGTAGGCATGATGACAGGGTTGGGCTTGCTGGGCTTTGAAAATCGCATGATGAGAGGCAGGATTTAACAAAATGCGCCCATGGCTACGCTTCTCCGTTCCCGACATGCTAAGCTAAGAACCTCCTGGACCCGTTTCTGAATGTTTGTGTCTGACTCGGTGCAAAATAGCTGAGCTTACCAATCGAGGTTGTGAATCGAACTAATTTTCTAAATCGGCGCAAATAGTTTCTGAATCAATGTTAACAGTGTCTGAATCGTAGCCTCTGAATCATGAATGCCTAGCCCTGCCAACCTGTTTGAACGTTTTTTGGTTGTTTTTTTACCAAATACATTGGTATATAGGCTATTATTTCTGGGTATCTGGGAGGTCTAGGTAGTTCCTGAGTTCCTTATGATAACTACTGAATTCCTTGCTATCCTATATTCTGGGCCCTAAGCTCTAAAGCCTAAACCCTAAATAGTAGCTTCCTTTGTATTTTCCATTGTCCTTATGTAACCCCAATAGAACCCTAATATTCTATCCACTTTTAAATCCTAAGCCCCCACTCATCCCCAGCTCCCCTCAGCAGTAGGTCTCATTTGTAGTCGTATGGCTGGTTCCGCGGCTCCTGTGCTCAGTGAAACTGCTGGACAACGATCTTTAACCACCTCTGAATGATAAACAAGCTGATAACAACAACAATCTCAGTAGTGGTAATGAAACTAAACTTTTTGTTATTATGATACTCTGAACATAGAAATGAATTGTAAAATAAGTATTACCCATACAACTGTACTACTATTCATACCATCGCGTAGAGTGTCGCAGGACCAAATGGCTTTGCCAAGTTGGCCGTGCTGGGTTCCCGGGACAGCAACTGACATGCCTCTTTTGCTGTGACCGACACACCAAGGTCGCCTAGGAAATTGGCAAAATGATGAGGGTAGACACAATTGGAATGCGGATCTGATGCACCAGAGTAATGAGCCATTTTCCGGTAGGCATGATACAAGTTGGAGCTGCCTTGTCTGTTGTACTTCTCCTTCATCATCTGACGTATCTGTTCAACGCGCACTTTTCCCGCTGGTCTTGACGTGCTGTTGGCTAGGTGAGCATAGGTTCCGTATTCACGCCACGTTTTATCGAAGTGTGCCTCTGACTGACTTCTTCTCAAAGGTGGCTGCAGGTTCGACCTCGCAGGAAGCATGGTCCTGTCGGGCGCAGCAGTACGCCGCAAGGAATTGCAGCGGGGATGTGAATTGCAGCGAGGATGCCCAGTTGGAAGTCGAGTCTTGTCAAGGGTTGCGGTTGTAGCAGAAGTGCTCGCAGGACTTTTCCATGTCAGTTTTTGAGCCGTTTTGGTTGTCAGACTGCCTTGGCTTTCAGCAGAGTGGGTCTTGGCTTGCGAAAGGGCGGGTGCTGAGTTTGGCCTGGTCAATCGGCAGCATTGTGGGATCCATAGCTGCTCATGGGCCCTTCTAGTATCAGTGGACCGCACAGGCATATTGCCACTATGCGGGGTTCACTGCACAATGAAAAGCCTTGTTGGGCAAGAAGCTTTGCCTGCCATCGCTTCATTCCATCTTCGACTTTCGGCACTGACCTGTCTGCTTGAGCCAGTGGCCACACACCAGTCACAGCTCAGCCGATCAGCAAGGCGCAAGTAGTCATGCTCACATTGTTAAGTTCACATCAATCCTCATAACTGTTATGCCCATCTTTTTTTAGCAACATTGAAAATGGTGATGATCATGAAAAAGGCATTCCGAAAAATTGGCTGTCGGGCTGCAAGGCACTTTTCCTGATCTTGCAGGCAGAGGCACTACCAAAGCAGCTTCCTCTAGTGTTTCCACGTTGCGTCGTCCATGAAACTGAGAAACCTGCGGCTCCGTTGCACCGCATCAGTTTGCGAATCCCAGTTCTGAGGGCGTCCCTTGCAAGCTCTCAAAGCTCGACGTGCCTTGCTTTCACTAGGAAACGTCTTAGGGGACCTGTGCGACACTGATCTGTCTCAGTTGAGCTCGGCCAGCGTAGCATCGCTGATCCCTGCCTAGGTACATCAGAGACGTCAGCTTCAACTGAAAAGGTGTTCGATGCAAGAGAAGCTACTTGAAGGTCCGAAACTTCCCTATAAGCCTAGAAAAAAGGAACCCATCATGGTAGCCTAAACCCTACTGCAACTTAACGGGAACCTGCTATGGTAACTAGTGCAGGCATGAATCTGCAACACCTCCTCCAAGCGTGTTGAGATAGACTTTCGGTCCAGCGCTGGCCAAGGGCCTGGTATAGCCTCATCCAGTAGAGCAAGCAGTCCGTCTGCCAAGCCATCAATTTGCATTCTGTCGCTCCTCCCCTTAGTTGTCCGGTATCTACGTCTTTGCCAAAGTAAATATTTTTGTTTATATAGGGTTTTGTATTGCCCAAGAGAACCCTAAACTTTTCCATTATCCCTACGTAACTCCTATATAGCCCTTATATAACCCCCATAAAGCCTAGTTCTCTCCACCGGACAGGTAAGTGTCGCTGGATTGCCTTGGAAGCCGCAGTCCTCGCCTTAGGCGTTGGCTCAAATCCGTGTTTTTCTCCAGCAAAGAAAGAATCTTGCTGTGGATCTCCATTTTCCTGGGTTGCTGTTAGGGAACTTAAGCTAAGATACCAGAAAATGGGTATGAAGCACAAAATAGGGTTTCCTAATCATAGTGACTTAATTAAAGTTCCTTAACCGCAACCCAGTTTCTGGTGTTTTACCGCGACGTCCAAGAGCAAGCTTGCAGTGCTGATGGGTGTAGCGGTAATGGCCCAGTGGCCTGAGATAGATCTAGGGGCCATACAAAGATCAGATCCTGAGGGGGGCACCTCCTAATGTTAAAAAAAGCCACCCCCTATCATATTCAATATTCCCCATAGTATAGAATCTTCACAAGATCGGAATATTTAACATTAGGGGAAATGAGGGGTTTAAATAATAGGCCCCAAACCCTACACCCTAAAGCTCAAACCCAAAACTTTAAGAGGAATTCCTCAGTGACTGGACGGGCCCTGGCCGCAACTGCTAGTCTGGTGGGCGATGCCGCCAGGCAAACGTAGCAAGGAGCCGGCGTGCAGCTCTAAGCGCCTCGAATCGGAACCCAGGCCTAAACCCTAGTCCCCTCCAGTAGATAGAATATGGCTTTGGGTATATCATGATAAGATCCCCATGTGCCCCATATTCTGTCTACTTAAGGGGGACTATAAATCCGAAACCCTAAATCCTCCTAGACCCAAGTGTGCCTTGACGCGGAATCCAGGCCATCAGTGAGGCAGCTGGAGTTCCCCAAGTGTGATGGATGCTCGACCTGGGACTTGGCTCAAGCAGGGTTTGGGGTTTCATTAGGGTTCAGGAACTTAATGTTCAGGGTTTAAGGTTTGGGGTTAGGACCTTAGGGTTAAAAGTTAGTTACTGTTTTGAAATGGTTGAAAATCACAGCGGGACCCGCTTCAAACTAGCTCCGCTATAGTAATTCCCATTCCTTTTTGCATGCAGCTTGCAACGCCTCCCCCAAAACCCTAAAACCTAAACAGTAGTTTTCATTCTCTCTTCCATCCCCTAAATTCCTTCTCAGCCCTGATCCCTCAATAGCCGTTTCCATTCTTTTTTCCATTCCCTAAATCCCCTAAACCCCAAATAGTAGCTTCCATTCTCTTTTCCATCCCTGAAGTCCAAAAATCCCAATCCCTAAACCCCTAAGCTCTAAACCCTTGAACCCTTACACCCTTAAACCCTAATCCTTCAAGCCTCATCCCTAAACTCTAATCCCTAAAGCCCTAAACCCTAAATCCCGGACCTTGTGACGCACTTCTAACGAAGGGTGCCAGTGCTTCCACACACGACAGCCCTGGATCTGCAGTATAAGTGCCTAAGTTCAGGAACTTAAGGTTCAGGGTTCTGTTAAAGGGGTTATATAGGGGTTCTATAGGGATAGTGGAGAAGAAAATGGAAGCTAGTATTAAGGTTTAGGGTTTAAGGCTTAGGGTTTAGGTTTGAAGTGCCTAATCTTTCTCTGGTATCTGAAGCCAAGTTAAGCCCTAAACCCTAAGCACTAAACCCATTCCTTAACAGCAGCCCATAATATTCCTTATATAGAATACTATACCCAAAAGGAGGATATAATCTTACTCGATATTGGGTACCATATAAAATGCTACTCAGATGCATCATGCGCATCAGCATGTGCACAAACCGGCTCGCCCTGTTCCGGGTGGCCATACGAAGTGATGGACACCTTGGGGTTCAGGGTTTAGGGTTTTAGGGTTCAAGGGTTTTAGGGCGTTTAGAGCCCAACTTACTATATAGGAGTAGTTTCCATTTTCTTCTCCATTATCCCTATATGACCCCAATATACTATAGTAGTTTCCATAGGGTTCATGGCCTAGTCTTTCGGGTTTAGGGTTCAGGGGCTTAGGATGTAGGGTGTAGGGCAATATCTAGGGCTTTCCCAAGGTTTGGGTTTTACCTTGCCCGATTTAAAGCTTACACTCCCGGAAACTAACATGGAAACCCAAAAAAGGCCCTTTAAAGACTACAGTCCTTCTAAATGGGCGCTATATGGGTTTCCATGTTAGTTTGGGGGAGTGTACCCACTGGGCAGGCAAGACGCAGCTGTCGCTGCAGTTTGGTTCGCAATCACAGCCGCGACCGCCGCCGCTGCTGGCAGAAATAGCTCGAGACCTAGGAACTTCTCACTCCCCTAGGAAAGCCACAATGAAACTCAGGGTTTAGGGTTCAGGGCCACATCCCTCCTCTATGGTCCCGAAGAATCTGCCTTTTTGAGAAACACCCATGTCATACTCGATGTTGTATTCTTCCTGTTGCTATTCTATTACCTACGCCCCACACCGTAAACCTAATACCCTAAATCCTAAACCCGAATACAACATAGCACATCCCGAAACAGCCCTTTTGACCAAGACTCGCTGAGGTGCCTGTAGCGAGTCGAAACCCCAAATCCTAAAGCCTAACCCCGCGGCTTAGAAATTCTTGTATAGGATTTTGGGATTATAGGGCTTAGGGTTTGGGGATTAGGGTTTAGGGATTAGGGTCTAGGGATTGTGGGGTTTAGGGATTACAGGGTTTGGGGCACCTGAAAGGATCTGAGTGTAGCCAGCTCGGAGACTGGCAGCTCCTCTGCCTAAGCTCTGGCAAGGAATGAAGGCATGGGAAAGATCATGGAAACTACCATTAAGGGTTTAGGATTTAGGTCTTAGGGGGCTTAGGGAATGGGACAAGAGAATCGAAGCTACCATTTAGGGTGTAGGGTTTAGGGCCCTGTGGCTCAGGCAATGGAAAAGAAAATGGAAGCGGAAGTGAGGATCATGGAGAGTCAAATGGAAAGGAAATTGGAATCTGTCATAAAAACTAAAGCTACGTAGGGATTTTACGTGGATATGCAGGAAAATGGACAACAACATGGAAACTACTATAAAGTCGGGGGGTGAAGGGACTGTGTTTGGATGCATTCCTTCATGCCCAGCTAACCAGAGGTAAGCTGCTTGAAGACAGCGTGCCTTGCACAGCTGCACCAGAAAGCTTTTCAGTAGAAATTCCTCCTTGCAAATGCTGCCGAAGCTCTGCCTCCGTTACCTGCAGGAGCGCCTGTCACAAGTTTAGTTTAGACGGCGGAATCCCCTAGGATTCGGCTTTAGGAGCATTCTGAGTATTTTTGCATGCAAGGTAATAGAAAGATCAAAACGCTGCACCGCGGGAACCACAGTGCATTTCTAGGGTAATCTGGGATACCTTCGCGGCTGGCAAAAGCTCAGCTGCAAGCTTCTTCCGTGCTGTGCTTGCTGGCAACAAACGCGGGGTGTGCCAAGACAGAAGCTCCAGCTGCTCCAGTTCGGAGCCTGTGAGCACCTCATGAAAAAACTTACTTGTACAACCCAAATCAAAGCCATACATGAAAATTTTCTCATTATTGTTATTACTATCTGTTATTACTATTCTTATTGCCATGCCAGTGTTATTACTATTACTCCCGCTATAACTATTACTCGTACTATATTATTCTGGGCTCCTGGCGCTCGCATCCCGTGGAACTGAGCACACATCCGTCCGGGCCACTGCGAGGACATGCAGGAGACAACTCTTAAGCAGCCATTGCTTCTGCATCTACTACACTGGGTTAAGGTTTTAGGGTTTAGGGTTACTGTTCACTGAAGTAGATAGAGGAATGGAACAGAACATCGAAACGATTGTCACCATAAGGAAACGCTGGCATGCTAGCCGCTAAGCTAATGCCCCAATACAACCTTAGGGGATCTAACTCTCAAACCCAGCGTTGCCCTTTCAGATCTGTTGTTATCATGCTTGCTGCTGCCGAAGGCAGGTTTGGATCTGCTCATGGTTTCGAACATTTTCGTCAAGGCCTAAACCCATACCCTAAACTTCTCAGAAGTAAGCACTTGGCGCCCTTGAGCTATCCAAAGGCCGGCGACTGCAGAAGCAAAGCCATCGTGATCGTTTAGCCTGCTGCCTCTGTTTAGCCCCAACCCTACACCCTTAACCCTAAACCCTCAAGCCTAAACCATCAACCCTAAACCGTTGCTGATGCAAACGCGCGGTTTCTTTGGCCATGGCCTTTGTCATTTGTAGAACCTTCTGCTTGCAGAAGGCCCGTTTCCTCAAGCGATGCGCGGGATGCCCACGATGCGTTCTAGGGTTTAGGGTTACTCTCTCTCTCTCTCTCCCCGGTTTAGGTTTACTTTGTGGGCATTTCTCCAGATAAACCCTATAGAATCCCTGATAAGGACTCGCATAATCCCTACATATCCCTCAGGGTCCCTTGGGGGTCCCCACTTTCAGAAACTCCTATGTACACTTCTTCGGCATCTGTGCCATAACTTCGATCAGCAGGCACGCCGTCGAATTTGTCGCGTTCGACCACCACGTGAAACTTGCTTCATCTCCTGGAAATCCAGGAGTACTTCAATACCTTAGATGTCCAGGATCCACGGCTTTCCCAAGAACAACCTTGTAGTTTTTGCCTTTTATATTACCCTGAAAAGGTGAAGGCTTACCCACCGGACAGGTAAGACACCACCAGATGTCACAGCAGCGCTCTTTGCCCCTCCTGCGCGCACAGAAGTTGATCTCTTGCTGACTTTCCAGCTCTCGATAATGTCAAGTAACAAATAGCTTACTCTGGCTAACTATGGCAGAATTCAGTAGAACTATAGTCCGCCTTAAGTTGATAGAATGGGGAATTCCTCAAAAGCATAGCAAAATCCAAATGCACCCCATACACTACAGTCTATCCACCTAAGGGGGACTGTAGGGTCCTCGGAGAAATTCTTGGTAGAAGTTCTCCACCGCTCGCTGACACTCTTCATCAAAGCCTTGGAATCCCTGGCTCACCTGATTCTTGCGGGGCAGAAGGGCTGCTACCATACACCCTAAACCGCTAACGGTTTAGGGTTCAGAGGACCTGACCACTCTCATCTAAGCTGGGTACTGAGAACTCCCAAACAACTCTGCCAGATGTCGAGCTCCAGGGGTAGCCGCCACTTGAATTGTGCGGTTCGAAGCGAACCTGCACATGCAGCTCACCGGTTGGAGTCTCCTCACACCGGCATCTCGCAGCTAGACAAGACTTCCACAACATAGCAATGCCGCAATGCAAATAGATGATGGTCAGAAATGATAACAGTAACAACCCTAAGAATCATCAGAATATCAATTATAAGAATAAAGATCACCCAGCAAATAAGAAGAAGAGCAGCCAGCATCACAACAATAAGATCATAATACTACAGCTATAAGTAAGAGTCATAGAAAGGAACCATCTATATACCACCTAAAACAATGTCATCACAATCAGTCCTCCAGCTTCTGGTTCAAATCAACTTCTCCACCTTCTTTCAGCACGCGGCTGAAGGGCAGCCGGAGAAGCCCCAAGCCTTAGTTGTCCAGTCTAGTGTCTAGAGCTTTCTCGAGCTTAACGTTTTGTTGCTATTGGTTTTACGTTACCCCACAAAGGTGTTTGCCAGTACATAATCCCAGTGCCCATTTCATGTTTCATCTTCTTTTCCGTTGGATTCTGTATTGTTGGGGCTATATACATCTATAATCCCTATGTGCTTCATGCCCCTGAATAACCTTAAGCCCTAAACCTATATCCCCTTGAATATCCCCGGATTACCCAATGGACAGGTAAGAAGCAGTCGTCGCTGCCCTGGGCAGCTCGGATGTGATCTTCATCCCAGACCTCCAACGCCACAGCATGGGGGGCATCGGGTGTGTGTCAACATGACTGTCTTTTTTGATGTACGCTAAATGCTAGGGCTCGTGTTGTAAAGGTATCGCAAGAAAGGGATTAGAATCTTGATGACATACGATGTGTTACTTCGTGCCAAACTTCAAGTGCTCGAGCTTGTCAACCTAGGGTCAGCATCTTGCAAGGAACCTCTAAGCCTTGTGCCTTGAAGAGGATCTCATGCGCCAGATGGATAGTATTCCTCAGACACGGCTGACAATTGCTGAATGACAAAATGCTGGCAGCATACACTCCGGAAACTCTCAGCTATCTGTGTGGCAAGTGGCACAGGCAACATCAATGTGCAGTTCCAGTTTGGGTTCAGATTGTCTTGTATGGTCGGCGTGGTCGCCTTCTGCAAGCCCACATGGACCGAAACGTACGGATCCGACTTACTCATAATGTCCGCATTTCGCAGGTGCCGAGCAGAGACGACATGGACCCTCAAGGCACCAGCAGTCCCTCTGTCGGCATCTGGCTTGAGAAAGACACTCTCTCGCAGGAATCGAGCTTGTCGTGCGGCATAGTCTGATGGGTGCACACAGGATGTGGATTCCTGGGTTGCTGTTAAGGAACTTAATTTATCTAAGTTACTATATTGGGGGCAATCATAAATGACTATGTATACTCATCATAGTAACTTTTTTTCCCTAATTCAAGTCGTTTTTTCTAGGGAAACCGTATAAATCACTATAAATACCCACTGTAGCAACTTAATTCAAATTCCTTAACAGCAACCCAGATTCACCATGCCCTTGTGCGGCCCGTAGCAGATGCTCGGCTTGCTTCCGCAGCCCGAAGTTGATAAGGAAGTCGATGAGACCTACAAAGTAGATCCTCAGTTGAGCGATAGTCTAAGCTCCGTGAAAGGGGGTTATATAGGGGATTAAATAGGGGACTACTATAGGGGTTTTTTAGAGGAGAGACTAGGAGTTTAGACTGTAGCTCAGTTGTCCGGGTTTTCCCAAGTAAGCACCTTGATGGGGGATTGTATGGGGGAGTATCATAGGGGTTATAAAGCCCCCCTTAAATAGATAGAATCTCGCATTCCCCAACGTCATCGTAAGATCCGCGTATACAGTACTTAAAAGGTACTCTACCCCAAACTCTAACGCCTAAACCAGGTAAGTATCTTGGTGCCACATGCCGACACTGTGCCAGTGGTGCCCAATTGCCCACCTTTGCCTCGCTCGACATGGTGGATGCCCACCAGAAGCCTGGGATAGATAAAAGGTTTTGGATTAGGGTTTAAGATTTAGGATTTAGGGATTTCAGTCAATAGAAGCTTTATGATCCGCAGTAATTTCAAGTTGATTCACAGGAATATCCGAGAAGCGAGTAATCCATGACGCTGTGTTCCTGCAGGAATTGAACATCAGCTTCATGTGCCTCCAACATCCTGGGTTGCTGTTAAGGAACTAAAACTAAGTCACCATAATGGGTATGCAATTTTCCTATGCCTTCCCCAGTATAGTAACTTAAATTAAGTTCCTTACCACAGTTTCCATTTCCTTTTGCCATCTTCTTCTCCACTCGATTCTCCATTATAGGGGAAAAAAGCAACTTAGATTAAGTTTCCTCGACGGCAGCCCAGTATCTCCTGCCTCTTAGACTCCGCTGGGCTCAGCACCATCTTATCATGAATCCAATCCTCGTCTTTGCCGGTGGATTCATCCTTCTTCTTCTTGCGATGATAAAGGGATCCCTTCAGATCATAGTTCGCATGAATTTCAAATCCGGGATCAAAAACGGACTTCATGATGATGAAATAGCGCAGCACGCCTCCGGAAACTGTCACGCAGTACAGGCCGGCAAAGCGAACAATCAGAGACGTTGGCGTGGAGTGTATGTGATTTTGGTATCCTGGAAGCATTCGGAAGAGGAGCATGCCCTCGTCCTCTGAAACTGTCTTGACCAGATACTTCTTGTCGTGCGATAGAAAGAAGAACTCTCCAGACTTCGAGTTCGTTGACAGGCTCCTGTAGTCTCCCGAGCTGTACCCCAGCGACTCCACTACGCTCTGCGCACGTGTGTCAGGATCCAGATTGTCAAACAACTCCGCAGAGAATACCTCAAAGTGAGTTGCCTCCACTGCCCTCGACTGTTTCAAGGAGCAGCACCTTCTCGAGAGCGGGTGTGCACTTAAATAGGCCCTGAGGGGTTCAGCTGCTTCAGGGCTGCATTTCTCAAGTAGCCGCCCAAACAGGCGAGTCCTGATGATCGATGCGCGGCAAGAAGCATCGACACAGGAGCGCACGAGCTCCTGAAAAAGCAAAGGTGCTTAGCATGCATCATTCATCATGCGCCCAGGTTTGAATGATGCTAGGGACCCTCTCTCTCCTCATGCATGCGAGGACAACCTAGACCTCCCAAATACCCAGAAGAATGGCCTGTATACCCATTATTTCGGGCAAAAAGGTTTGGAATCCACAATTTGAGCGGGAAATTGTCTCTAGCGTAAAAGGCCACCATTGATGAGTATTTGGGGGGTCTGGGAAACCGTGCACCCTAAACCCTATAGGGAAACCCCTGCCTGCAGATATTTGTCCGCATCTGCTGCAGACTGCCCACTGCAAACACTGCCCCGTGTCTTTGTGTCAGCAGCACTTCGCAAGTGGCTTTGCCTGGGTTGCTGTTAAGAAACCTAACTTACTACAGTAAGGAAACCTCATTATTTAGAGTTAAGGGTTTAGGGTTACTGTAGTGATGGAACCCCACGAACATTTACTACATGCCCATCATATGGTAACGTAAAGTAAGTTCCTTAGCAGCAGCCTGGTTGCAGTATGGCATCGTTGGTCTCGAAACCAATGTTGTTCCGCGGGACCTAGGACGGATGTCATCAGCATAGAAGCAATAGTAGTTTCCAGTGTATTTTCCAATATCCCAATAAAACCCCAGTAGATACCCTATATTCCCTATAATCCCTGTAGTTTCCATTTCATTTTCCATTATCCCAGCAAAGCCCCAGCATGCATTCTATACTTTCTCAGGCTTTCCAACCCGCCTAGAGGATCCCAAACATGGAACCTCCTGATCATCTCTTAGCCACCCTAATGGAAGGATTTGAGATATAGTCTGAACTCCTAGAATCCCCCTTAATTAGTAACCCTATTTCGTAGTGTTTAGGATTTAGGGTTTAGTGTCTAAACTCCTAGTATCCCCCTTAAGAAGCCCTATAATGGGGGATCAAATGGACAAGAAAATGGAAAATTAAATGGAAACTGGGGCTTATAGGGATGTATGAGTCATAGTCTAAACTCATGGTATCTCCCTGAATAGCCCCTACTCTACTCCCCTATATAGGCCCCAATATAACCCCCCGTGAAGGGGAAGTTAGACCATGGCTTATTTGTGCTATACGAGCCTAGGCCCCAAACCTAGACATCCTTAGGGGCTTCTTTTTTGGATCCTGTACGGTTTAGGGTGTAGGGTTTTGGGTGTTTGCTGGAGCAACCAGAGTCCCAGTTGCCGCAGGCTCGCTCTTTGTGCCGGCATTTGCGTTTGCAGGTGGCCAGCGCTTCTGCGACTTGCAGAATGCCACAACCGGCTCCTCAGAAGGCAGTTTAGTTTAGGAATTTGGGTTTAGGGTGGGTTTACTGGGCTTTGCAAAACAGTCGAAAATGCGAGGATATCCAGAAGCAGGGGCTCCAATGCAACCCCAATATAAGAGAATCTTCTTCATGGCCTCCCCAAAAAGGGGACCCCCAAAACCCTAAACCTTAAACAACTATCCGTTATACATGTTCACATGCTTCCTTACATATCCACACCCCCTACATTGCCCTTTTAAATGGGCCCGTCATGTGGGAAACTTCCCCCCCACACCCGAAGCAAACAAGGCGCAGCACACCGAAGCGCACTGCTTCGCAAAAGGCTGTGGCAAACATCAGCGTGTGATTCCTGGGCTATAAGGATTTAGAGACCCGTACAAAAATTGGGGCATAAAAATCATGGAATATTGAGACCCCTACAAAAAACTAGGGGTATATAGGAATCATGGAAAAATGGAAACTACTCTTCAGGGTTTAGGATTTAGGGGCCACATGAAAACAAAAATCTTTATGGCTTTATAGGGTATATTTAGGGATTGCAGTGCCCCTAAACCCAAAGCCCAACCTAGAAAATATTCCCAGGAAAAGCGAGTCTCCAGGACCTCTGGGGGGAGACTGGCGTAGAAACCTGAGTGGTTTAGGGTGTATGGTGTAGGGGTACACCAAAGCCAAGGCCATGACGACTAAACAACTCTAGGGTGTACGGGCTCAGGGGTATGGGGGTTTCGGGGTTTCAGGTTGAGGTTTAGGGCTTGAGGATTCAAGTGCTTAGGGTTTCGGAGTTTAGGGTTTTTCATGGTTCTAGCGTTTAGGGTTTAAGGGTTTTCGGGGCTTAGCGGTTAGATTTTGGGTTCCCCAAATACTGGAGTTTCAAATGGAAAAGACAACTTAGAATGACAAAGAACTTGCTTGCGTGATATTGGTAGTTAGCCCTTCAAGCTCAGACACGCCTGTAATTCATTTTCCATGTTCTTTTCCCGCCCGATCCTCCATTATCAGAGATGACATCTCTGAACCTTTCTCTAGCAACAGTCAGTATGGAGCCTCTTCCAAATCCTAAACCAGAGGCAGGCAGCGATAGGGCGAGATTGTGCCCCTACATGGCGGGAACCGCGTGCGACTCTCCTAGGCTGCTGTTAAGGAACGTAAGTTGAGATAGCATATCATGGGTACATAGGGTTTACAATTTCTTTATTATAGTATCTGAGCAATCGTCTTAACTCCTAGTATCCCCCCTCATCACCCCTATAATACTCCCCTATACAATTCCGAGAAAACACCCTTTAAGGAGTTTAGACTATTATGCATATGGGGTGTCCAAATTAACGCATCTTAATTCAATTTCCTCCACAGAGACCCAGTCTCCTGCCACGAATGAGCGGCCCTTTGGTTGTCCGAGCCGCACAATCCTCGGCATGCCACATGTTTTAAGTCTTATAGTCCCCGTCAAGTAGATAGAATATGGGGTTTAGGGTTTAGGCTATACGGTCCCCTTAGGTAGATAGAATATGGGGTATATAGGGATCTTATTGTAATTTGCCCAGAGCCATGTTCTATCTACTTAAGGGGGACTATGCACCCTAAACCCTAAATAGTAGTGTCCATTTTATTTTCCACTCTGCCTATATAACGCCGATAGAATCCTATACCGTATCTGCTTCGGGGAACTCTAACCCCTTACCAAAACCAAGAAGCCATTGGCGATCAAGGCCCCTATCAGCAGATCCAGAGCCAAGGCCTTAGCTCTAAGGTTTAGGGGCTTCACGGTTTAGGGGTTGAAGTTTGGGGTTTACAGTCTAGGGCCGGGATTGAAGTTTGGAGTTTATGGTTTAGGGTCTGAAGTTTAGGTGCTAGGGTTTGGGGCTTTGGGTTTAGGTCTTAGGGCTGGATCCGGGAGCAATTTATATGTACTCCCCAATGATAATATCGTTTCCATGTTCAGTTCCGTTCTCCTACATGTCCCTGTAAAATCCCTACGTAACCTTAGCTTTCATGTCGTTTTTCAGGTTCTTTTCATTTGATTTTCCATGATGGTAGCCTCCGTTTTCTTTTCCATTCCCTCAGTCCCTAGAACCACTATATAATCCCAGCCTTCATCTAATTTTTAATGTTCTTTCCATTTGATTCTTCACTATTAGGTAATATCCATAAACCAAAACCCTAAACCCCAAACCCTAAGCCCCGAAACCCCAAATCGTAGCTTCCATTCTGTAACCAGAGGTAAGAGGCTTGTTCATGGAGCGAGCTGTGCTCGAGCCCATCCCGCAAACAATGGAACTCCTGGCTGGTCACTGCATAGTGTCACGCGTGAGCTATAGTCTAAAACTCCTAGTATCCCCCTTATTAACCCCTATATATATCCCCTTTAAGGAGTTTAGACTATAGCTCATGTGAGAGGTCTCGGCGAGGTTGGTCTAAGCTTGGGTTCCAAGGTTCAGGTCCTATACCCTAAGCCCTAACTTATGGTCAAACTCAGTCAACACTTCTGCCTCGATGAACAGCGCGCCGCTCAGCAACTCCGTCTTTGCAAACTCACACATCTCTGCGACTGCAATTTGCCTCAGGAGGTTTAGGGTTTACGGTTTAGGGGCCTCAGGGACATCGGCTGGGCACAAAACAAGCATCTTGTGAACATGCACCAAAACAGGGTAGGTAAGAACATCCTTAACCCCTAAGTCATCCTTTCACAGCGACCATGTTAATAGGCGCACCAAACTTAAATCCTACACTCTACATAGCCCCCATTATAGTAATTTCAATTCTATTTTCCATTGTCCCCAGTATAGCCCAAATAAAAAACCTAACATCCGAGATGCTGCTCCCAAACCTATAGTCCCCCTTAAGTAGATAGATAGAATATGGCTGTGGGTACATTATGATAAGATCCCCATATATCCCATATTGTAGCTACTTAAGAGGACTATATCCTAGCACATCCGCGATGCTGCAAGCCATCAAGCTCGTCGAGCTCCTGAAGCGGGCACATGTTCAATACATCATGTAGAAGCCTAAATGCTACCAATATCCTGGTCCCAGGTTCCATGTGTAATTGTGGTTTTGGATATCTCAAAGTTGACTTCAAAAATGAATCCCCGCAGAATCCGTTTCCATGCCATTTTCCATGTTCTTGTCCGTTTGATTCTCCATTATTTCCCTATCCGAGCCATATGCAATCCCACATCGGCTTTAAACCCCAAACCCTAAATCCTGAATCCTACATCCTAAACCTTAAGCCCGGAATCCTAACCCCCCAAACCCTAGACCCTAAATCCTAAACCCTAAGCCCTAAATCCTTAAATCCTAACCCCCCCAAACCCTAAACCCTAAATCCTAAACCCTTACAGTACCCTGTTCACTGGCCGCAACCTTTGCTGGCCTCGAAGATGTGCAAGCTCAAGGCTGGTGCAAGCAGCACCTCGACCTGGCCACAACTTGTATAGGGGTTATATTGGGATAATGGAAAAGAAAATGGAAACTACAAGAATATAATAGGGTATATAGGGGATTATATAGGGGATTATATAGGGGTTCTATTGGGGAATATTAAGGTTATATTGGGGTTGTAGGGGTTATATTGGGATAATGAAAAATAAAATGGAAACTACAGGGTTATAGGGGTTATATATGGATTGTAGGGTATATACTGGAGTTATATTGGGACAATGGAAAAGAACATGGAAACTACTATAATATAATAGGGTATAAAGGGGGCTGTGTGGGGATATACAGAGCTTATAGGGATTGGGGTTATATTGGCATAATGGAAATAAAATGGAAACTATGGGGATTATGCGGTTTATTTCGGGGTTATGTAGGGGTTATATGGGGATGACGGAAAATAAGATGCAAACTACTATTGTTGGTTTAGGGTTTTGTTGCATTTCGGGCTTGGAGGTTTCAGCTACGAGAATGGAGAATCAAATGGGAAATCAACGAAATCCCAACCCTAAATCTTGAACCCTATGCATGTTACGCCCAGGTGCCTGAGAATTTGTGGAGCAGGTTGCTCTTCTTACGATGGCCTAGACAAATAGGACGAGATGCCACCGCGACTTACGAGTGGTTAGTAGGGTTTAAGGTTTAGGGGTCTAGCAGCTTAAGGGGAAAGACTAAAATCCCTGTATAATCCCTACATATAATATAATGCCTCTAGTGGTTAGTAGCGAATACGGGAGTACATAACATGTGGATTATGTAGGGATTATATTCCCCTCTAACCACCAGTAAGGAGATTCAACACAGCGAGTAACACTAGGACTGAAGAGAGCGACTGCTTCAACTGGGTGGCTGTTAAGGAACTTACTTCCAGTTAAAGTATTGAGGTAATCATATTCATTACTATATATACCCATTATGGTAACTTAATCTAAGCTCCTTAACAGCAACTGCGTCAAGTGCCGAGGAAGTTGCCGTATTCTCCAGACCTTCCGTTCTTGACACGCCACGGTTCGGCATCCCCATGAAATGCTGGGGCATGCCGAGGTAGAACTGCCTGGGCTTAGGGTTCAGGGTTTAGAGTTTAGGGGTGGGCTAATGTAGACCCCTGATTAATTAACCCCCTCCCCTTAATGGGGATCCGAATATTACAGCCTTTAAAAGGAGGGGGTTTATTTATCATGGGTCTGGATTACCGAACATCATCGAGATCAGAGGTCTGGGAGCTAGAGCTAAGCCCTAAGCCTCTAAACCCTAAACCCTAAATTCTAAACCCCTAAACCCTTTCAAGGCCCTAGGTGCTTCAATGTCTTGTCTGAGAACTCGAGGACAAATTGGTCCTGGCCGAACAAGGAGGAGTAGCTCGCGCGCATGTACCTGAGTTCCGTTGAGCCCACTCTGTCAGAACAATCAGAGGCACAAGTAGGCCCTGAACCCTGGATCCTATCGTGATTTCGTCTTACAACTCCCGTTTTCTTTTTTCATTTTTGATTCTCAATTTTCCCTAATCCCTACACGTAAACTCCCTAACCCCCCCCCTATAGGCACTAAACTTGAAACCCTAAACCGTAAACCTATAGAGCCAGGGAGCTGCCCCAAGAACAGGTGATCCCTTCCCAAACTGAACTCGAAGGCTCCGCCGTGCTCGCCATCATGTTCGAACTTAATAGTGCCTGCCTCGAATGAAGGTTTAGGGTTTATAGTGCCCCTTAAGTAGATAGAATATGGCTTTGGGTATATTATAAAAAGATCCCCATCAACCCCATATTCTATCCATTTAAGGGGGACTATACGATCTAGGAGGTTTAGGAGATGATCATGAAAAATCAAATGGCGATATCTAGTGCGCTTTCTAGCCTTTTTTTCTAACCCCTCTCCCGTGCCTCGCCAGGGTGTAGCTTGGAGAAATGACTGCACCTCGGCTTAAGCCTCTGTCCCTACAATCCGTTAGCTTGTCAAAACCTATTGGATGTCTACGTTGGGGTCCCCTCAGTTAGTAACCTGCAGGACATAATCACAGGGAGATTAGGTGGATCCTTATCGGGGTATGCAGGGGTTTTGGGACCCCATCGCCTGCCATAGCTGACCATCGGCTTTCCCTGCACTTCCAGCACCTTTTTCGTGGCATTTGTGATGTGTGCCGAGAAGATGCGCTTGCCGGAGATCTGCTGGTGGAGGTCCTCCCCTCGCTTTGCTATGAAGTCACCCACCTTCTCAAGCAGGTTCATAGCATTCCCATGGACGTCATGGCTGAAGGGCACAGGCGTGTGAAGACGTATAGGTTCATAGCAGTTGCAGAGGTGGTTCTTTGCTTTCCAACCTATAATGGACCGGACAAACTGAAACAGCAGCAGTGTGGTAGAGACTACTGGCAGATGACTAGACGCTCCAGACGCGCGGAAGCACGAGAGGATGCAACCGACGCATGCAAAGAAGTTTCAGACAAACTGAAACTGCAGCAGTGTGATAGAGACTACTGGCAGATGACTAAACGCTCCAGCCGCGCGGAAGCACGAGAGGATGCAACGGACGCATGCAAAGAAATTTCAAGCCTTGACTAACAAACAGCCTTCATGATAACCTCATGGGTCCCCCTACTACTTTCTCTATACTGCCCCCCCTAGGTTCCCCCCTTAATTGAGGGTATCTAGAGATAATTAAGCTTAAATAAGGTTAATTTCAAACAGCCTTCATTATAACCCCAGCGTCCCTTTCATTGTCAATTTTGAACTCTCCGTCTGAGAGCTAAACCCGAAACTCTAAAACCTACACCCTAAAGGGCAATCTTATTTTCTATTCCGTAAATCCGCTAAACCCTCAACTTAGGGAAATCCCCACTCTCTACTGCTTTTAGGGTAGTTTCAATGTTCTTTTCCATTCCTTCATCTCGCAGTTGGTCCCACCGCTCGCTCTTTTTACTCTCGAGCGCGGCTGACGACAAAGCCTGCCGGAAGCAACTCCCCAAGTTCCCCCTCTACCTACAGTAATAAGGGAGTTTCTCAAAATAGGGCTCTGCCCCCTACTGATCTCAAGGCAAACACGGGGATTATAAGGCGACTGTGTCCCTAGTAGGGATCTCTTAGACATGTGGAGAAACTCCCTTGTTGTGGCACCCCGTACCATCCTCTTTAGAGGATGAGCTCTCAAAGGCTCCTCATGCTCGAGGTACCCAGCGGTGGAGGATTGCACACTGGATTTCAGCATGGCTCCTCACCACGCAGGGTCTAGGGTTCAGGGTGTAGGGCTTAGGGTTTAGGGTGCGGGTACCGTCCAAAAAACCCATGTGCAGATTGTGCCAGCCAAATCCACAGTGAGCGGATTTCGCTGTGTACTGGGCTGCGGCTAAGGAACTTCCAGTGAAGTTGCCCACAATGGGGAAACCACATTGTTCATCAGTGTTCTTCTCATCTTAACTTAACTCAGGTTCCTTGACAGCAATCAGGTAGAAAGTAAGCCAGCCAAAGTGCCATCTGCATTGGACATCACCGTCTATGAGACTGCAACCTCAGTTCGCAGCCTATCTTTCACAATGGGTGGCTGCAGATAAGCTGTAAACCCCAGACCACATAGCCCACTGGACAGTTTTGGTAGTTCTCCAAGAGGGGTCCCCTCCCCCAGACTAACAAGGAGCCCAACATACCNNCCCCCCCCCCCCCCCCTCCCTCTCCCTTTTACAGGACAGTCGTCTACGGAAACCCCTTTTTCAGATTCCATGTTAATTTGGCGGAAATCCGAGCAGCATGCAGTTCCGCAATGAGCTGTCGCGCCTCTTGCGCACAGCCGTTGCACATGTTCAGGCTCTGAAGCCTAGGTCATGAAACCCTAAGCTCTTAACCCGAGACCCTGAACAGCACCATTTACATAGGCTTCGGGGGTTCTAGGGTTTAGAGCCTGAAGGTGCGCAAAAGAGCAAGGAGACGGACCGACATTATAGGGTTGAGTTAAGGGTTGAGGGTTTAGGGATAACTGGCCACAGCCAACTTGCAAAGCAGTGCGTCCGAGTCGCAATGTCTGAGCATCTGCTGCCTTTCAAGGGCGTTGCGTTTACCATCAAGAGCCCTAAGCAGTGAACCTGGGTTTAAAGTAAACCCTAGGCGGAAACCAGGCTCTCAACTTGAAACCACTTATAACTTGGAAAGAACCCTACTTATAACGTTAGGTACCCCCAGAATGCCTCTTAGGGAAACATAAGTAGGGTCTCAATCCCAGCTCTACGCATGATTGGGTGCCATGAAGCCTCACTCTAAACTGCCACTCCCGAAGCATTGGGGTCTCTAGGGTTTGGGCTTACTGACCGCCGGGAACCTCCAAAAATAACGCCCCAATGCCTTCTTGGGGAGCAGGCCGCTGGCCACAACTTCCAATGATCCTTCATGGGGAGCCAGGGGTGTAAGGGGTTTCATTGCCGGAAGACGGACTAAAAAAAGGACTTAAATGATGTACGACATCCCCTTGCAGTTCCCCATCCTCCCTTGTTTTGCATCTGGTCTCTGCATTGTATGCCAACATCTACGAGAAAATCACAACCATAAACCCCAAACTGCAAACACTAAATCACAAACTCTAAACCCTAAACCTGAAATCCTACACCCTTCACCTCTAGTCTCCTTAGACCTATAATGCAAATACTATTCATACTGGAGACTGGTACGCCGTGGTGGCGCGTATTTTCGAGGATTTTAGGTTTTT